TTTAAAAAATAAACTTATTTATTTTTAAACATGTCCTTATTAGTTATTTAATATTAAACAACAACCGCTAGCTATTGTATAGTCAAACAGTTATATTTATCAAATTCGCTATTTATCATCCATTACCCACTTTTCACTATCTGTCATCCACTATCCGTTAATCACCATCAGCTACCCGCTATCGTATTCGTTATCCGTTGAATTTTAACTGCTATATCGAATAGACCTTGATTTAACTCAATTTTAAATTAATTATAATCTAATATGATTTTTAAATTTTGAAGAATTAGCATAAAAAATAATTAAGAAATAAATTTAAAAGTTATTTAGTATAATAATTTAAAATTTAAAATTAATGATATTATTTAATTTAATAATTAATAATAATGACTATTAATTTAATTACTTCTTTGTAAATTAGAGGAATCTGGTAATTATCAGACGAAATAGGACGGGTGCCGGTTTCCATTTGTACGTTTCAATCTAAATTTTCAAAGCAAAGATGCCGCACAAGAATGATAATTTAACATGTTACACTTCATCACATATTGATTTCAAATATTTTGGGAAAAGTAATAATTAAATAAATATTTTCAAAAGCATAGTGACACGTGGAATTGGAATTGGTCAGCACTTTAAGAATTTTTTTTTGAAGAAAAAAAATGAAAATGTACTGATATTAATATTATAATATTTAATAATTAAATATTTTAATATTTTTAATTACACTACCTCTTTTTTTTTTTTTTATTTAAAGAAAAAAAAGACCTAGAATTCCAGGATTTCTTCTTTCCCTCTTGGTTCTGATTATATGCCAGCAGCCACAGCTCACATATAAATCAGGTCATCAGGGAGAAAGAAGAAATCAAAACAATTCAAGTCACCCTCAACCCAGATCCGCCGGAGAAAACCAGATTACTCGCCGGTGAAGCTCTTATTCCTAGACATTTCCCGGCAAGGCCTCGCCTACGAAACAACATGCACAATCGAACAGCATCAAGGAGAAAGGTCGAGCTAGTCGACTCGTGTTTAGAAGATAGAAAGCAAGAGAAGGACAAGGAGAAGAAGAAATTCGAGAGGCGATTGGTGAAGTACGACGACCTGCCGGAGTATCTTCGGGACAACGAGTTCATTCTGGACTACTACAGATGCGAGTGGCCGCTCAAGGACGTGTTCTTGAGCGTCTTCTCTTGGCACAACGAAACCCTCAACATTTGGACGTGAGTGATTTCTGCATTTCCCCAATCATACACAAACTATAAACGCATCTGCAAACTGCAATTCCAATTATAGCTGTTGATTTTAATTCGATTTTGCGGTTATTATGTACAGGCATTTGGTAGGATTCTTGATATTCGTCGGATTGATGGTGATGAGCTCCATGGGGGAGCAGCTCGGAGGATTGATCACGAATGTTTCCAGGTATGTTTGTTGGAACTGCTTGGGATTTCCATTTGGTTTGTATTATTCATAAATTAAGTAATAATTTTCTCTTTTTATTTTCTGGAAAAATCAGAGCACGGGTTTCTGGACAGTTAATGACGCCGATGATCAAGGATTTTAACGGCTCCGATCATGACATATTTCCGGTGAGTTCATCTTTATTTCTTTGTTTCTTCTTTTTTAATATTTTATTTTGAAAATTAAAAAAATAAAAATAATTTATTCAGTCCATCTGTAGTTAAAAATACTAAGTTTGGGATTGAAAAGATGAGATTCATATTTGACAAAATAAATTATACGTTAAAAATATAGTTTATTTTATGAATTTATTTAAATATTTTAATAAAATAATATAAAAATAATTTTATTAATAATATTTAAATAAAATTATATAACAAAAACTTATTTACAATATACTATTCACTTTATAAAATATATTTTTATGAGAAAAATAAAAATTCAATAAAAATTTATTATTAAGAGTGTCGAATGCTTGCACTTGATTCTCATAACCCAACAATTATAAGTCAACTGATAGAGTGTATCTCTCAACTTGAAATATTCCTCTCTCAAAAATTGTAATCTTGTTAAAAAAAAAAAATGTCTAATGCTTATTGTTGTAAAGTCTCGTACGGAATATATAATATTTTCTCTTTTATCTCATAGTAATACATAATGCTTTTAAGTAAGATATAAGATAAGAGAATAGTATTTATATGATTTATTTTTAAAAATTAAGAGATATTATTTTAAAATTATATTATTTTAATAAATATTTATTAAAAAATATTAAAACACTTTATTTTTAAAATATAAATAAAAAATATATTTTTTTAATTTTTTAAAAAATAAAATAAATAAACACTAACTCTATAAAATAAAATAAAAAATAGTACTACCAACGGAGAGGGAAAGAAATTGGGATTGAGGCAACGAAAAAGTCTGGATGGGGGACGTGACACCAGCGTGATTTTGGTTTCCGTTCGTTGGTGGGGACCAGAAAAGGGGACATTCTTGGCAAGAAGGGTGAGGTGGGGGAGACTGCATGTGAGGCTAATCTTTTCAAACTCAAAAAGACACCATCAATTTCACTGTTTTCTGGTGTGGGCGGTCGAAGGTTCAACTTATTGAAGAAAGCAGCGGGGGGCTGCATCCTAGGGATGAGCAAATACCAGTTTCGGTGGAAATTAATACCGAAATTTTTTTTCTCCTTTTTTCATGAGTGAAACCAATACTGAAATTCTTCTTCTTTTTTTTTTTTTTTCCGGTATTAGATAACAAAATTTTTGGTATTCAATTTTTTTATTTCAGTATTCACGAATTCTTCTTTATTGCCTAAAACATGGCAAAATTAAATCAAAATTTGAAATTTTATCTGAATTTTTTACCTCATTCATTAAAAAGATTAAAAAAACATACATATTTCCTTGATATCTTGAAGTAAAATTAGGTTTTGAGCTTCAAATTTTACAATTGGAGAAGGGGAAAAAACCCTAGGATTATCAAAGAATTGTTCCGGAGAAGAGGAGAATGAGAGAACACCGGAGAAGATGAAAAAGGAGAGAGAGGGGTTAGAGACAGATAAGATTAGGACGAGAATGGAAGGAAAAAACATTATAATTTTGTGAAAAATCATGAAAATATGTTATGAATTGAAAAGAAATTGTGATTTTTTTTTTTTGCTTTTTTAAAAATCTTTTAGGCCAAAAAATCTATTGGGCCTAAAAATTGGGCTTCAGTTTTGTTGTTTTGGAGGTCTCTAATTGGTTTCTGGTTAATGGGCTTTCAAATCAAAAGCAAACCAAAAAATTATTATCAATTAATATCAAAACCAAAATAAAAATACCAAATACCGACTGCACCGACCCAAATTTAAACTTTTGTGTCGATTATGTAACCACCCGAACGCCTAGCCCTACCACTGTTCTTGGCTTGTTGATTGTTTATTACTAGTACTTCACTGAGTCTGAGTCACCCCGGCCTTCTTTATTCCCCTTTCTTTTTGCATTTATTTAATGTGACTGAAAGAAAGTTAAGAAGTCTTGGTAATAAAATGTCAACCAAAAAAAAATAATAATAATAATTCTATAATTAAGATCTACATTTTAAATGTTAGGAGCTTTTGATTCTTTTTTTTTTTTTCCATATTTAATAGCATTTTTTTTTAATAAGAAAAACCGAAGAAAGGGTCAGTGCCGGCGTGGGGTTGGCTCTTTTGAGTGTTGGAAATTTGGAATATTTTGGTACATTGCTTTGTTCCCGGGGCTGCCTCATCAAATTACATTAACCCAATTCAATTTCTACACTTTGTGGGGGAACTGGGTTTTCATTCTCTTAAAAGGAATAGATTCAGTGATGTTACTTGATCTGTATGGACAAGAATACGTACTTCTAGAGACGTTGGTGGCGAGAATGGGTCACTAAAATCAGATGATCTGAGAGGATAAATTAACTATGCATTCGATAAATTGGCTGTAGGAAATAGGCACTAGATATGGCAAAACGAATTGAATTGTGCATATGGGGAGGGCCTCATTTAGCAGTTGGCTCGAGGCATATTAAATCCTGAGTTGGCTGCAGCATCTTGCACAGCCTAATTATTGAGTGCAGTGAAATGGCTGCCTTCCAACAGAATACTATTATCAAATATCTAGAGCTGACAATAAATGATGGTATCCCCAAGGATGTTTGTTCAAACTAAGTTCTATCTATACTGCGTGACGGCTCTCATGCAAAAATGTGCTATTTAAATAAGAAAGGAAAATGAAAATAACTAGATATAAAGCTAGAGTTCATGAAAGAAATTAGATAACCAGGATTATCTGATACATGAAGCACTAGATCATATAACTGCTGTATTTGTGCGTCTATTTTCAACCATATCAATGACAGGGCAGGAAGATTTGATTATTGTGAACAGGGGATTACTTAATTTCACCATTTTAGTCCTAGTTCTTTGTTTTTCTTGAGGCCAACCCCTATATATGGTTTACATGATGCACTAAAACATTAGAAGTAACTCTGATGCACATGACGTTGATGCTTTCGTTGCAGGACTCACAGTTGAGGCACATTTCTCACCAATCAGATTTCCAAGTACAAGAAGTTAATGGATATGAGGTCATTCCAAAATGGCCCTGGTTTGTTTTCTTGTCTGGTGCCATGGGTTGCTTAGTGTGCAGCTCCCTCTCTCACCTCCTAGCTTGCCACTCCAAACGCTTTAACCTCTTCTTCTGGCGCCTAGACTATGCCGGTATCTCTCTTATGATAGTCTGCTCCTTCTTCGCTCCCATCTATTACACCTTCTACTGCAACCCTTATTCACGGCTGTTTTACCTCACATTCATAACTGTCGTTGGTATTCTTGCCATCATCACCCTGCTCGCCCCAGCTCTCTCTTCCCCTCGTTTCCGATCCTTTCGAGCCACGCTGTTCCTCACCATGGGTTTCTCAGGGGTGGTTCCAGCAGCACATGCAGTTGTCCTCCACTGGGGCCATCCACATGTATTTATATCCCTCAGCTATGAGCTTGTAATGGGCTTTCTGTACGCTGCAGGCGCTGCATTTTACACCAGTAGAATTCCAGAGCGATGGAAGCCTGGTACCTTTGATATTGTAGGACATAGCCACCAGATTTTTCACGTGTTTGTTGTTCTAGCGGCAATTGTTCACAGTGTTGCCACACTCATAATTATGGATTTTCGGCAGGGATCACCGACCTGTGTGTAGTAGGCATAACTTGGACAATTAGACTAGCCAGGAAATTCTCTACATTTGTTTTCCCCCGTTTGGCTAAAAATTGTAGCCCTACATGTTCAACCTCAATTGCAGATGTTTTCTAGTTGTTTGTTGGCCAATATTTTACGGAATGTATCGAATATGCATGTTGGAAACAGTTGGTTCAAAATAGAATCCACACAAGAAGCTCAACCCATTGAACAAAAGATCAAAATTTGAGTATAAGCGTAGGCCAAAATCTTACAAAACTTCTTAATACAGAGTGGGTGAGTTGGTTTGGACCCTACTCATCTGCTTCCTGACTACTCCTGTTTATCAACTGGAAGACACTCTTAAAACATGGGAGAACACAAGAAAATATCATCAAAGCTATTGCGTCAAATTTTTAAATATAGGATCAGAAGAGAAAACTGAAGCTTTATAAGTGCGTGCCTTAAACAACTATTATTGCGACTTAGTACGAAGACAACCTGGAAGGATACAATTCCTTCTGCAGTTGTTTATGTTTTTAATTTGATAACCAATAAAAACTATGGCCAAAAGATAAGGAAAAGAATGGAAAAACCAAGTCATGAATGAAGTACACAACAGACATGGTATGTACCTTTTTCATATCAGTCTCTAACTCAAATTCCCTCTTGCTGCAAAATCAAACTGAGTTCACTATCAATCGTGTTGAGAATTTTGCACTAGAATAAACTTTTGCATCCTTACTCCAGCCTCCAGCAGCTACGCATCGGTCACAAGTCTCATAGCTATACAAGCCTTGGCAATGAAGAATTTTCACCTTGCTTCTTAGAATAGTCCAAAACCATTCTTCAACTTGTAACTTCAACAATCTCAGCTTCACTGTCACTATAATCTCCCCAGCACTTGCTTGATTTTCCCTCTACTTTTCCTTCACTGCAAGTTTCTTGTGAGGCAACAGCATCACCGGCTATGTGGGTCACATCTGCAGTCTTCCCTTCAATTTCAGGCTGCTTGTATTTGTTGTCCACAGATTGTGTTTGAGTAGGTTTTTGCTCACTAAACTGATCTTCACCAACAAATTCTGTTGTGTGTTTATCAGGACTCCGCTCAGATGCTGCTTCACCTTTGTTTTCAGCTCCATTATCAACAGTTACAACAGCCAGTGATTCTACTGTTCCCACTGGAGTTAGCAGAAATCCATTTTGAATCACTGGAATGCCATTTGTTGATGCTGGATAACCATTTGGTGTCACAGGGGACATAGTGAAGCCATTTGGATAGACAGGCATGCCATTAGGAGACAAAAAACCATTTGGAGAGACAGGGTACCCATTCCAAGGTTGGCCGGGCACAAACTCAGCAGCATGTGGGTTCATTATTTGAAGATGGCTGAATTCGCCAGCATGTTCACTGCTGTGGAAGCCAGGCTTTTTACGTGGAACCCTACTTCCTGATCTGTTATAACTACCAGACAGCCTTGGACCATATGGGACTCTAGCTGTCGCCGACTGATGAGGTGATCTACGAACAGGATTGACTTGGAGCATTGGAGGTATATTAACTGGAGGGGGGAGTATACCTCCATGATCTTTGAAACCAGGAATTGTCACTGAGCTAAAAACTGGAATTGTTGAAGGGTTAAATGGTGGTGCAGCTGCAGAAAGTTTCTTGGTTGTCTCTTTTACAGTTCCTGTTTCATCTTGTCTTTCTCCTTCAGTTGGTAATGGCTTAGGACTAATCTCGCCGCTTGGTAGCCCTGAAAAATCTTCAGCTGGCACATTTTCTCTGGAAATAGAAGCTTCTTTTTCAGGCAAAAGAGCCAAATCATTGGTAACTAGACATTGGTCTGAAGCTTCACTTCCCAAAGCTTCAATACTGGAAGATACAGCATTTGGACCAGTGGAACCATCAGAGTTTTGAAAGTTGACAACTTCAGCAAGTCCATTTTTTGAAATTTCAATGGCAGTACTTTCTGATCCTATTCCAGCTTCCACTTTGGTGTCTTCAGCTGCAGTGCTCTTTATTTCCTCCAACGGTTCTACTGCTGCTGATTCCCTGTCCCATGTTTTTTGTTTGTCATTAGTGGTGGTATTTATTTCCTTCTCAGAACCCAGAAACTCTTTTTCTGCGATTGGTTTCTTAACTTCTTCTGCTGTGATCTTTAATGTTGTCTCATCAGTACTTATGACCTCTGTTCCAGCTGGGTCATCCCTTGCTTGAGAATTGGGTTCTGTTGGAAGATCTCCCTTTGGCAACTGCTCCACCACTGCCTTCACAATTGTCCCAGGTGGGGCCAAGGCCACTTCTTTGTAAGAGAATATTTTGCCAGCTGCCTGAACACTGATTGGAGTTGCCACTGGAGTGGACTTGGAAACTTGATCAGTTAAAGCTGGGCTACCGGGAGCTGACTTTGGATTAACCGGCTTCTCCAATCCACCAGGGGAGGTTGATGGATTATTTCGCTTTGGACTGAAGCTTGCACTCTTAACAAACTTTTTAGGAGCAGGAGGAGAGGATCCATGAGAAGCAGCAGGCTCATTTGCATTTGTTCTTGGGGAAGTGAAATTAGCTGGCTTTCCTCGATACCTTGATGACTGGGACACATTCATAAAGTTGGTATTAAGTTTAGCCAGGCTTGGCCTTCTTGAGGCTGAGGGTTTACGAGACGCAGGTGAACGACCTTTCGGAACAGCTTCCTGCCATCCTTCATCTGAGGTATCGTCCTGCATCAGGTCATCATTTTGAATTGGTATCAACTGATCAGGTAGAACTGAGTCAGATTGATCCTTTGTAGGTTCTGTGAATTGAGCTTCAGATTTGTTTTCTTTATCACTTGAATTCTCAGGAACAGCATAAGTTGGTGATGAAATCTCATCCTTCTGATAATCATCCCCCATGCCCTCCCAGTTCTGGCCTGGTTTGACTTTAACCTGGATAATCAATGATGAAAAAAACTTTTAAAACTTTGTCAACAATAAGAAGAAAAGTTACAAAAAATTATTAAAACCAAGGATTAGCAGAGAATGACCTTTGCACGAGCTTTCTTTTGGGCCTCCCTTGCTTTTATATCTGTATCTGGGGCAATATAATCCAAAAGGTCCGATACACTGATACAAGATGGAGTAGTATTGTAATTATAGCTGTTGTTTTCACTTTAAACCAGGAATAGAAATGGGATAAAAGAGGAATGAAGATGTGGGGAAGGGGGTAATTAAACCTTATCCCAAAATTCAAGAACAACATTTACTTTGATATCTACTTCCACCTTTTTCCCCAGAGATTTCCAGCTCATAACAAGTTAGAACATTCAAAGACAGCCAGGTGAAGACTAACTAAAGCTTGTTTTAATTTGAAATAAAAATAAAGCATCAAATAAAGATATGGATTAATGAGCTGATAATTATTTCCTTTTAAACTTTACCTTAGGTGGCCCTTGCTGGAGATTGAGGCATCGGGCTTAGGAGTACCATTGCGTGCAGCTTCTTGCTGCTCAAGAGCCTTGGACTCAAAGTACTCCAGCCATGCAGCAGCATCCTACAAAAAACAGAATACTTAAACTTGATAGAACAATAAGCATAGAAGACTAGACATAAAAACATTATATATATTTCATGCTACCTGTGTACGTAAATCATCAGACCCTAGTTTTGCCTGCAGTATCTGTAGGGTAGTTTGTTCATGCTGAACACTTAAGGAATAAGCTTCCATCAATGACAGAGCAATTGCAATAGCATGGTAACTTGCAGCAGTCTGTAAAAGCCCAAAATGCAAAAACAATAAACATTTCACAATTGATGATGGAAAAATGATTCTTGTATGTTTCTTTTCCCTTAGCTTTCAGTGAGATTCAGGTTGTGATTTCTCCCTTTGTGATCTTGAGTCCAAAATTTGAGTTCCAAACTTTTTGTCAGTTAAATAGAATATGGATCTAAAACAGGTATTCAATCATTTGATCTTGATCATGTAATTGAATGCTATTTCAATATCTTTACTCGTTGTTGGATTGCTAGACTCACAAAGGGTTTCTTTTATATGAGAAATTACCTGTATGTGGTCAGCTCCAAGTAGTCTTTGGTTACATTTGAGAGCCTCATGGAGATATCGAAGAGCAAGATGGACATTACCCAAGCCTTCTTCCATCATTGCTACATTAATATAGGTGGCTGCCGTGTTTGGATGAGAAGACCCACAAGTTAAATGCAAAAGATATAGTGCACGATTAACATACCTAAAATTAAAAAAAAAAAAGAAAAGAAGAAGGGGTACATGTAAGCTTCCATTCTAATCACAACAGAATTAACTTGATCTTTATACAGAAATTAATTTTATTCGACAGAATAAAATGGCTTGTAAATATTATTCATTTCTAATGGAGATGGTATCCAGATGTTTCACCAAGCATTTATATGGGGCATCATCCCTTTATTGTTTATTCATGAATCAAATTGCATGCAGAACCTATGGATTTCCCCCTTTTCTGCTAAAGTTAAAAATTGAACCTTAGATCTCAAAGTTGGAAAAAAGAAGAAGATAAATAACAGTTAACTATTGAAATTAAGTAAATTTATTTGTTATGAAAATGTAAAAGCATACTTCAAGGCCAACTCTGTATGTTGAAGGCGATAGTAGAAGACAGCTAGGTCTCCATAACTTTTCATTGTATCAGGATGGTCAAGTCCGAGCTCTCTCTCATTTATATCCAAAGCTTTCTGCTGATAAATGGTTGCCTGAACAATTGAAGTATTGAACAAAGATCAGCATTGTGCTAAAGCTAAACAAGAAAATTATAACAACTGTTACACATCAGGCAGAGATCAAAGGGAAAATGACTAACATGCACAAATGTCAAATCTTTCAGGCAAACACTTCAAGCAAAGTGGATAAAACAAACTATTAAATTGAAACAAACACATTTAGGTATTGGATATATTTTACCTTTTTTCAAGAAGAAAAATAAAATTCCAAGCTTATCTAAAATTTC